AGTTAAATTGCAATTTAAAATTTTAAACAAACAATGTTGCAGGATTGGTTTCTGGTTAATAGGCCCTATTTCTGAAGATGGTGGGTTTGAAGAGAGCTCCGATATTAAAAGGGAAGTTGTTTGATTAACACAGGGAATTTAAAGATGTTGATTTGGATAAGAACAGACCAAGGACAGAGATCAGCAGTTCGATTCAGTGGACCTGACAGTGTGATTACTACCAGGTTGGTGATGTGTCTTCCAAGATACCCACAGGCCCGGGTATCCTGGGGAGAGCGGCAGTATTTGGTTATGGAACACCACATATAATATGCACATGTAGCACACTTTTGGAGATTTGTGTTGATTTTACTCCCCCAATAATTTTACTTGTGGAAAGGATGATGTCTTTAAAACAACTACAGATCTATGTATTAGTTTGTAATTCAATAGGTATTGATTGGGGTCTTCTCTGCAAGACAAAGTGCCAGGATTTTGGATGGATTTTGGATGTTACATGTGTCTGTGAGCTTCAGGAATGCAGGATGCCCTGTGAGTGCTGGTGCCCCATCTCTTGCCCTGCTCTGGGAAAGCCGGAGTCCTCACTTCATTCATAAAGGTGCTTGGGGGATTCCCAGTTTCCAGCCTCCCAGAGATCCAAGAAGCACATGTTGGAAGGGGAAGCTCCGCCTACCTTTCAGCTTGGTTCCCAGGCCAAATAAAACCAGAGAAGTCTTTCTATTTTGAGAAAAGCAATTTATTCTGGACTCATGTTTTCTCCCACACTTGGGCAGGTGAGATAATCTTAATGCAGTTTTATCAGCCTTAACTCTTGAATTCTTGGCTGCAAAACTAAAAAAAAAAACCCTCATAGATGCATAAACCCTAAATTTCCATACCAAAGAGCAATAAGCTCTTACTGGGAACTTTTATCTCTCTTGTGGTGGTGCTTGTCTCATATTCTGTAGCAGAGTGGTGAGAAAATCAGCTATACAAGGAGAAAATGCCGCAAAGACAGAAATTTAAAACTCACTCACTGATAACAATGAGGCAATACGCATATGCTCTTTTTATCCTTTTTCTTTAACAAACATGTTGAGAAGGAAAAATGTCTTGCATCAGGCAATTTCCCACATACATGAAGGCTCAAATTGATGCTACAATGTACAGATTCAGAACTGGTTTTATTTTTAATTTTTGCTTAAGTTTTTAAAGAAATACCACATCTCAAGATGGATTACAATAAAACAAAAAAAAGGAAAATTAAAAGGCATGTCTGAGTAAGTGGAACATAAACTGGCATTCATCTTTGACCAGAAATACAGGGGAGTCTGTGTGTGGTGGAAGTTTTTCCCCCCAAAGCTCCAAAGGTCACACAGATGTTAGGGGAAGTCTGTGGTTACAATTTCACGTCTGTGCTCATGCGCTCAATGATAAATCACATTTATCTCTCCAAACATTTCAGCCACTTGTTATCATTTTTCAATTATTTTTACTCTGTTCTAGGGGACTTTCACTGGGATAATTTGTCTCTTAAATCTCCTGTTTTTTATTTGCCCCCAGTGAGAGGAGCAGGAAGTATATGGCTAGTTTTGAAAAAGAAGGAGTAGGCTATTCCCCGTGAAACTTAAATTTTTTATTTAAGACTGATTCAAAAATTGAATGAACCAAAGAATAGGAATAAGAGCTTAAAAACCAAGGAAACTTCCCGAAGAACATAGTTGACTTGTGAGGAAGACCCAGATAGGATGGGACCTCAAAATACAATAAAATAAAAATACATATGAGCATACTTAAAATTTATATTTATGATTTTTTTGTAGATTTGCAGGTTTTAATTTCTATTTTAAAATATTTATATGAAACTCCTTCCTCCCTGATTTGTGAATGTCACTATTGTCACACTTTACGTTTAACAGTTTAGCTGACTCTATTGAAAGTAGTGAAGAAGGGATAAAAATAGCACCTCCATAGGGCTGCTGTGCAGATTAAAATGTATAAGATGTTGGGCTGGGGATGTGGCTCAAACGGTAGCGCGCTCGCCTGGCATGTGTGTGGCCCGGGTTCGATCCTCAGCACCACATACAAACAGAGATGTTGTGTCCACCAAAAACTAAAAAAAAAATTAAAATCTCTCTCTCTCTTTCTCTCTCTCTCTCAAAAAAATGTATAAGATAGTTGGAAAGGGACCCAGCATAATGGAGCGTGTTCAGTATTTGATTATTATTGTTATCGTTACTTTTATTTCTAAAATATCTCCATATTTATTCTTTTTAAAAAATATTTTCTTAGTTGTCAATGGACCTTTGTTTTATTTACTTATATGTATTGCTAATGTTTGGACCCAGTACCTCTCACATGCTAGGCAAGTGCTCTACCACTGAGCTATAACCCCAACTCCCTCCATATTTACTCTTCATACAATTAGAATAAAATCATGCATACTTTCTTAACCTTAACATTCAATTTTCCATGTTAATAACTAAAAATTGATTTTTTTAAATTATAGGAGACAGTGGATTGTACTGGCTATTTGTTGGACTCAACCAACATTGAAAATGAAGGCCATGAATTCACTAGAGTGTTGTCTCTAGATTCTTCCCACAAGATTCAATATGACCAAAGAGAGCAAAATCAGAAACATCCAGGCCCTGTGAGTTGATCTGCAATCTGAAGTGTGGACAAACAGAGGTTGATTTGGTTTGCAGGCATTCTCCAGTGACTCTCAAATCCTTGGGGTGGGCTCAAGAGTCGGAGGTGCAGAGGTCTTCTAGGGCAAGAATGTGGTGGGGTTACTTATTAAGGAAAATCAGAGTTGCATTATTATTATTATTATTATTTTTAAATGCAAAGGGTAAGGGTTAGAATGTTCCATATGGCAATGGATTAGAGCTAGAAACATCAATACAAACTCATGTTTAGCTCAATATAGATACAAATGTTTTAGAAATTTTTGTAGATGTGAATACATACATGGCTTAGTATACACACATACCTCTTTTTTAAAATTTGTTTTTAGTTGTAGATGGACACAATTTCTTTATTTTTATTTATTTTTATTTGTATGTGGTGCTGAGGGTCGAACCTAGGGTCTCATGCTGCAAAGCAAGAGCTCTACCACTGAGCTACAATCTCAGCCCCTTGAAGTTGCATTATTGTTTGGGGACTCAAATGCCCAACTCAAGTTTTCTCCCTAGATACAAAATGGTTCCAAGTTATTGAACTGGGACAATCTGGAAGCCAGTGGGCCCTGCCACCTGCACTGTCCTTGACACAGAGTTGTATCTGAAAGGCCTCTGGAGGGAGCAAATGGTGAGGGAAAAGAGGACTGGTTACAGGCTTGATGGTAACCTTCTGCACTGGGTAAAATGGTAACCTTAAAAGCTAGTTCATGTCCACTGGAATCTGTGAGTGTGACCTTATTTGACCTTATATGGCTTGGCCCTACGCCCGATATGATTAGTGTTCTTATAGGAAAAGGGGAATTTGGACACAGACCCAAAACACACAAGGAGAAGACATGTGCCAATGGAGGCTGAGACCGGAGTTATATTGCCACAAGGCAAAGAATGCCACAAGCCAAAGAATTGCTGGTAACCACCAGAAGCTAAGATTGAGCAAATTCTTCTCCTGAGCTCCTGAGAAGGAGCAAACCTTGCTGATGCTTCAATTTCAGGTTTCTGGACTCCAGAACTGTGAGAGGGTAAATTTCCATTGTTCTAAGGGACCAAGTTTATGGCAGCCTTAGGAAACAAATGTACCTTCCTAATATATGCTATGCAAGGGATGTAACCTGAATAGATAAACAAGGAGGGGGTTGAACAGGGAGGGAGAGAGGAAGGAAGGAAGAAAGGATAGAGAAATAGCAAATGTTCAGTTGACAGATACTGTTTTATCAGTGAACATCAGATATGGCTTTGTTAAGATGTTAAGAATAGCTCATCTAACAATCTAATCCTGAATCTATATCTAATGGAATATACATTCTGATAGAAAAATATGCCTATTAATATGTGTTAACTTTCTATTACTGTAAAAAAATGCCTGACATAATCAACTTAAAAAGGGGAAAGGTTGCTTAGCACAGTGATGCATGCCTGTAATCCCAATTAATTGGGAGGCTGAGGCAGGAGGTTTGCAAGTTCAAGGCCAGCCTCAGCAACTTAGAGAGACCCTGTCCTAAAGTAAAAAAAAAATAAGAAGAAGAAGAAGAAGAAGAAGAAATTAGGAGGTATCTCAGTGGTAGAGCACCCCTTGGCTCAACCCCCAGTTCCACAAAGAGAAAGAGAGAAGAGAGAAAAGAAGAAGAAAAAGAAGGAGAAAGAGGAGGAGGAGGGGAAGAAGGAGAGAAGAAGGAGGAGGAGGAGAGAAAGAGGAAATAGGAGGAGGAAGAGGAAGAAATAATCATCACCTCACGGCAGCTGGGAAGCACAGAGAAAAAGAGGAAGGTGTTAGGGTCCCGATATCCCCTTCAAAGGCAAGCCCCCCAAGACCTAACCTCTTTCCACTGGACCCTACCTCCTAAAGTTTCACTTCCCAATAGCACCACAGACTGGTGACCAAACCTCCAATACATGGGAGTTGGAGGGACATTCAAGATCCAAACTATAGCAATTTGTTTAAACAATAGGGGATTTGTCTGTAAGCACCTAGATGCCATAAACTAAATAGCATAAACTCTTAGACCAGGGTTTACAACACTCTACTCCTTCCTTCTTTGAGCTACTCAGAGAGACAGTGCTTGAGTTCTCATCTCCTAGGCAAAATTGTCTTTCCATTTCTTCTACACACAGAGAATGCCACTTGTCTGTTTCCCGGTGCAGTGCACCTTGAAGAAGGATGTGTCTTCATGGTGTTCTGCCCTGCAGACCTGTATAGGCCCTGACTCCTCTCTCCCCACGGCCCTGTTACTCATTTCATGCTCCGGCTAAAGTGAGCTCTGCCCTCTGTTCATAGCCTTTGAATATGTGTTCCTTCCTGTGCTCCCCCTTCTCATCTGCCTTGCATGTATTCTATTTCAGGTCTCTGGGAAGTTTCCTGATCCCCTCAATGGAATCCTGCAGTGCATGTCTATGCCATCTTGCAGGACATGGTGACTGTCTCCTCCTCAGCTCCCCTGCAACTCCTTCATGTTCATAAGACCTTACAGGCATGGTTCACTTGGAGCCCTGCTCACTACTCGAACCCCAGAATCTGGCACATATTGGAGGTGTACTAAATATTCATTGAATGAAAAAAATTACTCAATAAATCATTTGATTTTATATAGCTCTTTGGAGTTTGTACTAATAAGGGAATTTGAAATGCATTAATGCCAACAGCATCATCTACTTATAAATATATAATCATCTTCATAATAGCCACTGCTATTTATTTGACAACTGAAATTTACCAGACCCAGTGTTATATTATTTATATACATCATTGTAGTACTTGCCATCACCCTGCAAGGTAGATATTATCCGATTTCACAGAGGATGAGCATGAAGATCAGAGAGGTTAAGATGCTTGCCCTGAGTTCCAAAGTCCACAAGTCCCCCAAATCATGCTGTGTCTAGCATGTCATATACAGTAATTTACTGTAATTTGGGGGGCATCTTCCATAGTCCACATCTACCAGGGTTGGTGGTGACCTGCTGTCTACATTCAGAAAGAGGCTGGGTCTACAGAGGAGGATAATGGACTGGGCTAAGAGGGTTTCCAGGAGCTGTGCTGACAATGGCATCTGCCCCTTTTGCTGCAGAAGTCCTGGAAGAGTCAAAGCAGGTATGTCTTAGTGCCCTTGGACCTCTCCTGCAAGGCGGGAGTGTCCCTGGCACGTCCTTTGATGGACCATCCTGCTCCATAGGTACCTGGGCTGTGTTGTTTTTCAGTGTGTCCCAGGACCTGAGCCCAGGCACTCTCCCATTCTCCACCCACAGATCCTTCTCTCAAGCCCAGGCTCTAGTATGGTGGGCAGGAGAGGATCTGATCTGCAGGTCCCTTGCAGTGGGAGGACCGACTGTCTCAGATCCTGCCCCCTTTTTAATGTTTCCCCCCATATTTCTTATTGGTGCATTATAGTTGTACACGATGGTGGGATTCATTGTTACGTATCTGTATGTGCACATAACACAACATAACTTGGTCAATATCATTCCCCCAGTGTTTCTCCTTTCCCTCCCCTCCTTCTTCCCCCAGTCCCTCTCCTCTCCTCTGTTGATCTCTCTTAAATTTCCCCTTTTCATAGGGATAGCAGACACATTGCATTAGGGCCTCCCTGAGACCTCACTTTAACTGCATCACCTGTCTAAGGACACTATGTCCAAATCAGGTCACATTCTGAGGTACTGGAAGTTAGGATTCCAACTTGTCTCTTTTGAGGAGACCCAGTTCCACCCATGACACTAACCAAGTGGACTCTGACCCAGACTGTCTTGAGTCACATCTTGGCTCTGGTCTTTACTTACTTTGTTCCTTTAGGCAAGTTATTGAAGCTCCCTGGGCTTCCAGTTTCCTCATTGTGAACAGAGGAGGCAGCAAAAGAAGCTCCCTTTCAGTGTGATTTGAAGATTGTATGTGGCAGCACTTGTCATCTGTTTCGTGCATTGCTGGTAGCTGGAAGGACCCACAAATAGACCTCATTGTGATTATAAGGGAGGTTAGGGCTGAGGAAAGAGCATGAGGATACTGGGCCAATGCGACTCACGCTGACCCGCCGCCCTGTGACCTACTGCTTTCTAAGAGTAGGACCTGTCAGATCCTTCTGGAGTTTTTATGACCCCAATCCCCTTCATGCTGTGTTTCTGGAAGATTCCAAGGGAACAGTCACCATTTTCTGAAGGTTTGACCTGTGCTCTCTATTAGCTGACGTGAGTCTCTGGGCTGCTATTGGCTATCTCAAAAAACCAAATAAACCCCATCAAAATCAACCGGTTCTTGGGAAAAAAACAGTTTTGGATGTGTTTGTTCGTCTTCCCTCTCCAGAAAATGACAGCATGCCCTTCATTGAAATTAGAAGAGACTTTACTACATTTCAGCACCATAAGGCAACTCGCTGTACATCCCTCTCTTCCATTTCTTTAAAATATATATAAACAGACAACACTTTAGATACTAGGAAATGATCTGACCTAGAAAGTGAGATGACAGATGAAATGAGCGAAGGATCTCCAGGAACACAATCTTGTCGAGCTGGATCTTGTCAGAGCAGATTTTCTGTGACCATAATAAAGGGCTTTTAACACGAGCTGGGTTGCCTCATTTCCGAAGAGTAGAAGCTACAGAGATTCTTAAAAAGGAAAAATAAATATTGCTCTAATTGGAGCCAGAGGTGAGGCAGGGTGGGACAATGAGCGCAAGAACTATTTATGTTGGAAAAAGGGAAAGCGTTAGAAACGATTTAGCTGAGACTTTCAGGAAGATGAAGGGCTTGGTCAAAACCAAAGTAGGCCCTTGTTTGAGAAGAAAGGAGAGAATCCAGGAATGAAGGGGAAGAATCAAATTACAGGGCAGCCAAAGTAAGCTAAATGAAAAGAGAAACCACGGCTTTCCACAGGTATTGAGGCCGGGAAATTCAGTGTTAGGATGAGGTATGCTGGCTGAATCTCAGAATCTTCCAGAAAATTTCATGCTAATGAAATACAGGGTGTTCATATGCGGTCAAGATTAGGTAATAGATACCTGAACAGAGGCTGGGGGATATTTTAAAAGATTCTTATAAACAATAAAGTCCTCAACCAGACTGGAAATTTCTAGAAAGTTGACCCAATGTGTTCCATTTTTCTTTTATATTTCCCCCATTGAATGCTTGGCACATTTGTCATGGTTACCTTTTAGGTCTTAGTTTTTTTTTTTTTTTTTTTTTGAGGGATGGAGTGGGGGAGGGTGCTTTGTTCTTTTCATTTCAAATTTTTATCAACAACCTTCTTTTACATTTGGGAGAACTGAGGCTTACAGAGCAAAATAACATATACCCTGAAAAGCAGAACTGAGATTCAAACCCTGGTATGCTTTAGGTCTAAATGAGCACTGCATCTCAGTACATTTCATAGAACTCTGAGAATTTGACATGAAATAGAAATTAAAAAATACATAAGCTGACCACCTTGCCTCTTATTTTATAAATTGAAGATACTAGGTCCAGATGTGAGATGGAATTTGTCCAGGGTCCCAAAGGAAATGGCAAAGCAGGGAGTCATTTGCTAAATAAATGAATTTCATGAATCTGTGGAATTTCCGTAGCAGTCAGAAGAAAGATATTTTTGTATACCTCATAAGTTCAAGTTCCCTCTGAAATGTCTAGGAATTTTTACACTTCTCAAGTTTTAAACAATTAATTCATAACTGGGCAAATAAATATAAAAATTATACTCACCTACTTTTAACAAATCTCAAATAATAGAATTGCAGAATGTAAAAATTTTCTTATTAATCTTCTGCTTCTGCTAGTCTCAGTTTACTAGCACTCAATTTATATCAAGATTCCTTTGGGGAATAGAACTAGATTAATGATGGCAATTTTTAATCAAACAAAAGTCTGGTAGAAATTTTGAAAATATTCAACATCTGGAATCTCATTCAATAAACACTTGATCGCTATTGACTTCATAGGCCACTCGAAGTGTTAAGGACACTAAGTTGAACAGAAGAGTGTTGTGTCTTCAGAGGTCTCACAGCTTAATGGAAAGACAGACATGGTCTCAAAAGTGTTATGATAGAAGTAAAGAATATATACAAATAAGAATCCAAATCAGTAGAGGTTCTTAGAGAAAATGTGAAATGAATACATAAATTGAACTCATGCTTAGAAAATCTAGTGTTTATAAATCAGTATCCCAGAAGTTCTACAAATATTCTTGAAAAATGTCTTTTTTTTAAAAAAAAATTCTTTGTGAATATAACTCTATCTTGCTTATTGCAATGGTTAGCTGTTGATGTGTAACAAATTGCCTCAAAATGTAGTGATTTTAAAGTAATAGCATTTATCATCTTACAGTTTCTGAGGGTAGGGAATTTGCACATGGGTTAGCTGAGTCCTTTGGCTCTGTCTTCTCCTAATACTGCATGATATTGGATAGGGCTATGGTTACATTGAATTAATTGGGTGGATTCATTTGCAAGATTCCTCTAGTGATTATTGGAAGGATTTGTTTGTTTTCAGGCTATTGACTGGAGTCTTTCTTTGTTTTCTTTTCCTTTTTGTTTGCTTTTTGTTTTCTTCTGGTGATAGAGGGGACAAGAAAGAGACACACAGAGAGAAACAAGATGAGAATTCTCTTTTACAACCTAATCTTGGAAGTGACATGACTTTTGTCATATTCCACTTATTGGAAGCAAGTTAATAAATGTTTAAAAGAAGGGGAATATGCAAGAGCATCTTCAATACCACAAGGTGATCACTGGGGACCATCTACCACCTCTGCTTATTCTATGAATTTATTCTCTCTGTGTCAGTCAGGGTTCTCTAGAGAAACAGAAACAGGAAGTATAATTTTAAAAAGGGACTTATTAGATTGGTTTAAGTGACCAGAAGCTGGATAGTCCACAATGGCTATCTGCAGGCTGGAGACCTGGAAGAACCAGTAGCTGTGCAGTCCAAGAGGCTAAAGCCGCAGAATGAGAGGGATCAACAGTGCTACCCTAGCAGGAGACAGAAGACTTCTGGAGAACCACTTGCAGACTCCGCTTTGAAGAGTGAAGAAATGAAAGTCCCTTGTCCTCAGACAATTGCAGCAACAATCAAGAACCCATTTAAGAAGAATCCCAGCTTGCATCTGCTGCTGCTTCCTTGTTTTTTCAATTTTTATTCTATCCAAGCCATCATCCTATTGAATGGTGCTGCCCACACTTAGGGAGGGTCTCCATTTCAGTTGGCTATCCCACATGCCAGTCATTCCTAGACACATCCTCATTGACACACCCATAAACCACTTAATCCTTGGCATCTCTTAATCCAGTGAAGTTGACAATTCTAATAAACCATTACACTCTCCACGAGCAACATTTGCAACCCCATTCTCCCATTGGCCCAAACTAGAAATACAAGACTCACCTTGTTATCCTTTACTTCTTCCACCCTAGTCAATCCATTATCATGCCTTTTCATTTCTATTCCACCACCTATGTATTTCTCAAGGTCATTATGACTGAGGGGACCATTTTCTCATTTCTGCTGCCATCTCCTTAGATCAGACCCTTCTCACAGACCCTTTCCCGGGTTTA